CGTCCCCGCCAGCCTCCCGCGCGCAGAGCAGCGGCGCATCGCGCTCCTCCTCAGCCTTGCCTTATCCAGTGCAATTCGCAGGGGTCCGGGTAGTTCCCCAAGGAAATAAGTTTCCGTCACTTTGCGTTACGTCTGCACACGACGGATGCATCCAAGCGCGCGTTTTCCCTGCCTGGCACTGTGACTTCCATAAAAGCTGAGGTGGCTTCGCTGCTCTTTAATCCTGAGCGCGTCACTCTCAGTGGTTCTTCGTTGCAGGAGCGAGACGATCATTGTCGCAGAGGAAACGAGGAGCGAAAGCAGAGATACCCGTCAGAACAAGAGCACAGGAGAGACAGAAGTGGCGACAGAGACAGGCACAGAGACCACTCGGACAGAAGGAGGAATCCCAGCGAGAGGCCGGGAGTTCGTGGCCACGAGCGAGAGAGGGACGTTCAGAACATCCGCGAGCAGCAGGCAGAGAGGGAGCTCTACAACGAGCGAAGACGGGAGCATCGACAAAGTAACGAGGGCAGCGGTGTTGACCAGGATCCAGAACTCCGGCAATCTGATAACAAACCTAAAGAAAAAGCTCCTGTGAACAAAGAGAAGCCAAGCTTTGAACTGTCTGGGGCGCTGCTGGAGGACACCAACACCTTCCGAGGCGTTGTGATTAAGTACAGCGAGCCCCCCGAGGCCCGCATCCCGAAGAAGCGGTGGCGCCTCTATCCTTTCAAAAACGATGAGTTTCTCCCGGTGATGTACATTCACAGGCAGAGCGCCTACCTGCTGGGCAGGCACCGCCGGATCGCGGACATCCCCATCGACCACCCCTCCTGCTCAAAGCAGCACGCCGTGTTTCAGTACCGGTAAGTATGACTGCCTGCTGGTGAAACTGGGTTATTCAGGAGCTTCTGAAGAAAAAAACAAACAAAAAAACCTGGGATATGCACAGCTGAGAGGTACGAGTGCGCTGTAAGTATGTTCAAGAGAGGTGGAATTTACGCTTGACTGCTGCGTGTCGTCCCAGCAGTAATCAAAAATACCTGCAGCTCCTCTTGTTTAACCACGAGCAGCCTTTTGGTGAGACGGATAACACAGCGGGGTTAAACCCAGCGCTGGGCATTATCTGAACTGGAATAAACTGGCAGGTGTAATTGGCAGTAAAAGTATTTGGAGGAGAGGTTTTATTCATTTGGTCTTTTGCACCAAAGCCTGCGGGTCTGTGAATCGGCAGGGCTTGCCTGCGGGTGCTGTCGTAGGGAGCAGCCGTCTGCTCTGGCGTTGGAGTTACGGTATGACGTCATCAGCAGCCTGGAGGGTGACGCAGTCTGTCAGGTCCCGCGCGGTTGCTCGTTGCGCTCGGCGGACTCGTTCAGATCCCCGCGAGCGCGGGTGGGTGTTGGCTGCAGCGGGGCTCGTGTGCTGGAGGACCCGCTGCTTTCGGAGGAGGGTGTCTCTCGCCGTCGTGACTGAGGTGGTGTTTTTGCTTTGCCAGGCTGGTGGAGTACACCCGTGCCGACGGCACCGTCGGCCGCCGCGTGCGGCCCTACATCATCGACCTGGGCTCCGGGAACGGCACGTTCCTGAACAACCAGCGCATCGAGCCTCAGCGCTACTACGAACTGAAGGAGAAGGATGTGCTGAAGTTCGGGTTCAGCAGCAGGGAGTACGTTCTCCTCCATGAGTCTTCGGATAAATCTGAGGCTAACACAAAGGACGATGATGATGACGATGAGAAGGAGGAAGAGTCTGACAGTTAACAGACGAGGAGGAAGTGGAGGGGAGGGCAGGGGAGAGAAATTCTTCGCAGTCGAACATGCCATGGGATGCAAACTTTGGAGCGTTGCAGCACTGATGCCTCTTGTTGCCTTAAAGTCCTTTTTCTGTTGCTGATCTGTTCTTATAGTTTCTTTTGGGGGACTTCACTCATCTTTGATAGTTCTGCGTATCAAAAAATGCAGCTTTTTTTCCCCCCGACAAGCGAAAGAGCACCTGGATTTGAAGTTCTGATGCTGGAAATACTCAACAAGTGTTGACAGACTGTCCTCTTCTAGGAAACGATGTAAAACAGCTGGCATATTTAAAGTTATTTTTATTAACTGTTTTGTTGTAGCTCTTTGAAAATGCTACTGAACTGGTACATTAGTTAGAGAGTGACCCGATGCATTTTGGAACGTGTCTTCTTTGGTAGAGTTTGCCGAATTCCTTTGCCTGTTGGAGTGCTAGACAGGAGAATCGAGCAGGGTGGCTACCAAAAAAGGTGGAAATGTTGCAAAGCCCCTTGTATATTTGCCTGGTTTGGGTGGTGGGTTTGCCTTGTGGTAACTTTTGGGAATATGCTACCTGAAAATTTCGAGGTATAATTTGAAACAGAAGTTAAACGCTTCCTGAGATGTTAGGTGACAATACTGCGATTCGGGGGCTGAGGTTCCGGTCAGTGTCTGCCCAGTACGTTCCCATGTATGATGCTGAAACTGTTACTGGGTGTTGAGTGTCCGGGTCTAAAGCTGAGGCCTTTGTTTCTGATACCACCCCTGCCCTGTGAACAATTTCTCCTTGTTTTTGTTTGTATTATGCATAAATACCTTTTATGTGGTGACATGTTTTAACCAGAGTTTGCACTATTTAAATTTTTTTTTTATAAAAAGTTACACGAGTCACTTGTTTAAAAGTCTTCTCCCCTGCAAAAGCAAACAGTGCTTTAGGAAGATGAAAACCAATTCCAGTCACTGGAAGTACTTGCATATTTTTGGATATCTTCTCCCCATTGCTTTGTGGTAGAAGTGTATATTTTCCACGCTGTTTACTGATGTGTCTGGATGTTTGTTCTGTGGTCACAAGCTCACTCATACGTGCTGTGTAAATACTCCCTGTGTGCAGATGTGGCATATTGTGTGCCCAGGCTGGGCCATTCGCGCTGTACATACGGGGCGTTGGTGTAGGTTCCACACAGGAGGTAGGAGTTTTGACTAGGAGGATCTCCTTTATAGATACTCTACGGGTTTTTAAATAAAGAATTTGTAAATTTAGCCCTAATTACTTCTAGTTGTAATATTTTTCTAGTGTCCTTTTTTCCCACCTTTATGTTCCTTGAAGTAGATGAACCTTCAGTACTCAGTGTTAACGGCACCGAATAAGTTTATTAAAAAAATTGGCACGACTTGTATTGCTGAGAGCGGGCAGGGGTGGGCACCGCACCCCTCTGCTCCGGCCTTTCTTACCTGCATGTGGCCCGGGGGGCCCGTTCTGTGCCCAGGTGGCCCATTCGGTGCCCGGGTGGCCCTTCCTGTGCCCAGGCTGTTGGTGGGGGCTGTTTGCCCCCGTGGCAGACAGGGTGGCACCCAGGAATAGGGAAGGCAGGGATGATCCGTGCCGTGCCGGGCGAACTCGCCCCTCGCTGGGGGCGGGTGAACCGGCCACACGGGGCCGGGGCGGGCCCAGGCGGCGCTGGGATGGGGGCAGCTGCGGTGGGACCGGGACACGCA